AAACAGCATGGTTTTTCTAATCCTGCTAGAGGTTGCTTCAGTCAACCTTCCCCTTCCTAATTATGAGCTAAACCTGCCATTTCATTGTGTGTTGCTGTTAGTATTACAAGTATTTGTGTACAAGTGCAACAATGAATGGCGCTGACCCCCGCAACCGGCCAAGTAAGTGTGACTTTTTCTTAAAATACTTGAAGTAGATCCATTCCTAAATCAAAATTATGGGTTATAATGTTATGCAAGATTATAAACTTTTTCGGCATAACTATGAAATTTCGAATTGTTTCGACATAAGCTTAAAAACTAAGAAGGTGGGCCAATTTTCAAAGCTTCTTAGTTTCTTTGTTTGTGATCGAATAGCTTCCAAATTTCGCCATAATGATACCTATATGCTCACAAGTAATAAACAATAGCTAGAAGAAAAATTTCTCCACGGGGAAAAATTCAGGTCCGAAAGGGTTAAACATTGACGAAACGTGACGCGGGTGTGCGCCCCACTTTGCGCACCACGCCGGACATTAGTGACGCGGTTGCGCGTCCCACCCAAGTCGTCCCTTTTTCTCGCGCTTGCTGGTGTTCATCTTACGGAACACATCATAACATAATTCTAAACGACGTTATGAACCATATGGTCAGGCATGCTTCCGTTCAGCACAGGTATTCTATGCGTTACGAATTTAAGAACTCGATTCTCCTTGTTTTCTTCTTACTTTTGACTTTTTTACTTTTACTTTTTTACTTTCTTTTTACTTTTGAGTATGAAAATAAATAAAAAGAGTGGTAGAAGAAAATAAACTCACACGGCAGCAAAATATCTCGTTTTTTGGAACAATCGCGCCGGAAACACTGGCGTCAATTACAGACGAAAAAGAGTCAAATTTCTTTTTCTATAACCATTACAAGTTCCCTGCGGTTAGAATGGAATGCTACCACTATACCCCCGAATGACTTCTACGCACTGAATATTGCTGAAACGGCTTTGCGCCATCCATGTTTTGCTAATTATCATCATTATCATATCAAAATTTACGGATTCGAGGTGAGGCGGCCACGCTCACAAAATCGCACCTGTCCCACGTGGCCAAAAAAGCCGAAACGCGCCTGTCGTCAACGTGACAAACATCCAGTAAAGAATAGAGGCACATTCCACGATCAGCTACTGGAAGGATATCTTCAGCAGTGAGGCTGACTTTCGCATGAACGTAAAGGTTGTGCCCACTTTGCAGTCCGAAGGTGTCTATACAGGGTGGGCAAAAATTACGGTAACAAGATAAAGTGTTCATGGAAAAGCAATGCGGCCAGGAAGACACACGTGGACACCAACAATGTATTCATAGGAAGGTCACCAAACAGAATACAACATCACTTCTTGGACTGGCCGCTGTTCTGCGTTTATACCTGAGTGAAGTCATCTCGGGAACGCATCGTGCCTGTTGTGTAGGTAGGTGACATCGAGCTTTCCCTAGGATCTTCTTTAATTCATCGATGCTTTATTACTACTTGTAGCAGCCCTTCGTCATCGG